ATAAAAGATGGACGAGCCACTCGATTTAGCGGATCAGATAGTAAGAGGCATCTCCCTAAACAAGTTAATAATGCCACCAAGAACTAAGGGGTCACCAGAAGTAAAAGAGAAGGGAAAGACTTTGAAAGCAACCGGAAAAGCAATCCTAAACAGAAAACAATTCTCTACACCTAAAAAAAAAAAAAAAAAAAAAAAAAAAAAAACTGGGAGGGAAAAATGTAAATAAGAGTTTTAGATGTAGATTTTAGAAGTATAGATTTGAAGCACATCTTACAAGAACCCGGAAACTCAATCTTAAACAGGAAAAAAGGGATAAATCTTTACTCCTGTACAAAAGACTAAATAGGAATGTGAACCGGATGATGAGCAAACTGATCTATTTCTATTAAAGTAAAGAAAAATACAAAAAAAATCTTTATCAGTATAAATCTGCTACTGTCTCCTATTAAAGTAAAAATAGAATAGTATAGTGGATTGAATAAATACTTGTCCTATCGGTACGGATTAATATAATCCGATTGCTCCTCCCTATAATTAGGCCATCTTCAAGTTACATACTCGTAGATTGAGTCATATACCCATCTAAAATGTACCTTATTTGATTTTAGTATCAATAATATGTATTGTATATACCTTTTTTATACTCTAGTGTAGGTAGAAACTGTGCGTATCTTTTTTTTTACTCTAATGTAAACGGTACTCGTTTCCAAAGCTCGATTAAGTCATTTTGATTTTTGATCTGGAGTATACGTATTCAACACTAAATAGCCTAACGGTTGTCGATGGGTTGTTGAAGTACTTAACCTGATCTGACCAAACCAAACCAAACCAAACTCTTATCTAAGTAACATAAGACTAATAACATTATCCTATTACAACGTAATAAATCAGACTGCCTTTAAATCCTTTGAACAATTATCTTTATGGAGACGACAGATTTTAAGGAGACCTTTTGAATTCCAGATCGATACTACAACCACTAGGCTATCTCGAGAAAGTCATTGGCTTGCGTATCTTATTAATACCTAATGAAGTATCTAACTACCTTAATTTAATTTTACACTAACCCTAAATCCTTTTGTAGTAACCATTATCTTCAGTCTCTGTCCAGTGCCCATTTCTGCCTTGGCGGCCATAATCGGCCGTGTTTCCTCTTGACTAATACATTAGTGCGATTCCTTTAACGAGATGTGTCTTACTACAATGTCATGAGAGCTTTCTCACTTCAGATAAGGTTTTACAACCACCGTTTCGTGGAAGACCGGTTATTTAATTACTGTACGCTACCTCGATGCTTTCACATGGGTAAAATGAGTGGAAAATGTTGAGGACCTTATTAGAAGAAAATGGGGTGGGGAAAAGAAGAGATAAGAATTAGCGATAGGCTAAACAGAGAGAGAAGAGGGAAATCAGAAGAAAAAGAAAGAATAAAGAGGGAAAAAGTAATAGAGAAGAAAATAAAAAAAGGAAGAAAGAATAAGAGTGAGGGAGAAACAGACAAAGAAAAGCAAAGAGTGAAAAGTAGCTGAGTGTATGAGAGAGAGGAACAAAGAAAGAAAGAGTGAGCGAAATACGCACAGAGAAAGAAAAGAAAATTAATAATGAAGGTGAGTGAGATGCGAAGAGTGAAAGAAGGAAAAAGAAAAGAAAGGAAAACAATCAGAGTTCGTGAGAGATGCAGGGTTAGAAAACTAAAAATAAAACATCATTGATGAAAAAATAAAAGGATACAGATTATACAAATATATGGATAATACATATATGTCTATATCTATCTATCTATCTATCTATCTATCTATCTATCTATATATATATATATATATATATACTAAAGTTCAAAAGTTTGAGGCCAGCCTTGGTAAATTTTTAAATTGGGCCAAAAAGAAGTTGAAATAAAATAAAATTATTGTACATGGTTTAAAAAAGTGAGACATGGTTTTTCATTAGAGATTTTATGAGGAAAAGAGAAAAAGGCATTTTATGAATAAATATTGTTCTTCTCAAAATAACCCGCTTTAACTTTGCAGCACATTCGTTGCAAAGTTTCTCAAAGTATAAGTTTGATAATTGATTCTATTCTTTTTTCAATGATTCTAAGCGGTCTTTTTCATATTTTCTTTCACTCTTCTCTCATGCTAATTCTGGGAGCAACTTCAAAATTTTTAAATGTAGTACACACACATATATATATATATATATATATATATATATATATATATATATATATATATATATATATATATATATATATATATCCGTGATAATGTCTAAAAAATATAGGCGACAGCGTACGAGTTCGGACTCGTCTCTCCGATTCCTTAATCCGAGCCGCTATCCATTGCGCCACCGTGCCTCCTTGGGTCCCAATGTCAAGTCCTTAGGGTTAATGCACAACCTTGACTTCGCCCAGAAATTACAAGGGAATTTGTCTGGCATCTGTTACGCGTAAAATTGAACACTAAAGTTGATTTCGAAACATTCGGAACAACATCCTCCCAAACCATGACACCAGTTGGGTTCTGTCCCTTGAAATTTGTTCTGAAACCTTCAGGAATGTTTCCCGGTGGACTGGCGTAAACCCTATCCTTTTAGAAGCTGACAAGTCTCCACATTGAAAAGCTTCTTGTTCGATGAAACTAAATCTGCGTCTGTCAGCTCCTCCCAAATTCTCTTCCCTCGGCAAAGATGTTTTTGCTTGGAGGCACTTGAGAGCAGGGGTCATCATTAAATGTTGTATGGTTTCAGCTATAGACCCGCTTTCAGAATCATCCTCAGAGAACAAGACTAAATATCCAGCTCTTTTATGATCTTCATGTTTCTTCGTGGTCGTCACCTTCTTTTGACTGCTACAATGAATCTCCTGGCACTAACAGAACGCGTTCACAGAGCAAACCATGAGCAAAATGAACGCACTTGGCTTTCTACCGAACAAATTAGCTTGCAGCATCTGCTAAATGAAAATATTCAGCAAACTTGACAGCGATATTCATACTCATTTAATGAGTTGACAGCCATCTGTCTGTCTATTTATCTATCTACCAATTTAATGTTCATATCTATCTATCTATCTATTTTTATCTATCTATCTATCTATCTATCTACCTATCTATCTATCTATTTTTATCTATCTATCTTTCTATCTATATATTTTTTATCTATCTATCTATCTATCTATCTATCTATCTATCTATCTATCTATCTATCTATCTAATGATCATATCTATCTATCTGGTTAGCTATCTAACTAGCTAAATGTTTATCTATCTATCTATTTTTTTATCTATTTATTTATCTATCTATTTAATCTTTCTACTATTTTCTCTATCTATCTATCTAGCTAGCTAGCTAGCTAAATGTTTATCTATCTATCTATCTATCTATCTTAATCTGTTCATATCAATCTATCTTGCGACCTATATACCTAGCTAGATATCTATCTATCTATCTATCTATCTATCTATCTATCTATCTAAACAGGCTAATTAAGTAACTATCCAATTGGGAATACATCAAGTAATCTGCAGACTGAAAATTATTCTGTAAACTAAGTGATGAAAATTTCAAATATTTTACTGAAGGATAACTTAAATCTAAAACGCAAACGTTCATGAAAGAAAACAATGCTTAAAAAAAAGGAAGGATTACATTAGAAAACTCTTCCTACGGCCAAAGAGTGAAATACAAAATAGGAGAAAGAATGGAATAATTGAAGTCTCAGATTAGGTCGTAACTAGTCAAAATGAAGAGCACGAAATAGCAAGAAGAGATGTGATTGTAATAGAAATACAATCAGGCTTAGAGAGGCTCGGGTTTTGTAAGATAATTGAAGTATGATATAAAATATACGATAGTGGTGAGATACAGGAAGACGACATTTATAGTCAGAATACTATCAGGGAAATCCATATAAATCTAGAAGGACGTATATTTATGTTTCATGATTATGTAATTGTTTTCATAACTGTATTACAATTGTGTATTCTGTCTGCAATTCCAAAGCGTCTATCTATATTTCTTAGATGAGGTATTATGTACATTATTTACATTATTAAGACTATAGTCCTTATCTTTGTCGCTATATTTATTGCAACGTTTTGGCCGTTGTATGCTCCGGCCTTCTTCAGGTGGTTGGAATGTCAAACAGAACCCTTTATTTTGCTCACTGGGGTAGACTGTTCTAGTTGCACGTGCCATGTTTAATGGATGTCAGTTATCATTTATCTCCTGTTAATTTCCCTTTGAAAGTTGTTCACTGCCTTAACCGGGTATTGAACTGACATCCATTAAACATGGCACGTGGGACTAGAACAGTCTACCCCAGTGAGTATTGAACTCACACTCTTTGGGTCCTGTCACTGGATCTAACGCCTTTATCCACTGTGCTATGTGTCCTCAAGGATATGGCGACAAAGATGAGGACAATCGTCCGAATAATGTAAATAATTCCAAAGCCGTTACACCTCTACGTACTGAGTATATTTGAACATGTTCAACTTCGCTGATCGTACGGTAACCATTGTTTCAATGTGATATGACCGTAGTCTTAGCGTATTTTTAGAATGAAAGCTGATAAGTCTTTACACCGATTTAATATACGCATTTATGAACATCATCTTTTTACTGAAATGAATCGTGAATAATATATTTTTGAAATAACTCAAATAAATATTCAAAGCAGATGTAAGATTCAGATTGCAATCTCGTTTAACCTGGCTCTTTCAAATTTATATCATTCTTCCTTGTGCCATCTTTCTTATTTGACGACTTTCAGATGTCGACGCCATTGCGACGAACAGCATAAACAGCTAAACATGTCGGACACATTTCCGAAATCAAATTACAATTGGCAGGCAATCAACAAAATGTCTACAGCACAAATGGAAAGACGTAATTTGTTTCTCACAAATTACATGTAATGCTGACGACATCTACATGCCAAAGTTATTTCTACCTGATCTCTCCACTCGAAGCACCTGTTCAACGACTCTAACCCAGATAGCTTACGGCCAAATCACGTTGAAACACTGCTTCTCGTGCGATCACTGAAATTAAGCAACGGCAAACCTGGTCAGTACTTAGATGGGTGACCGCTTTGGAATATTGGATTATGTAAGCTTGGAATTGTGTGTGATGTAATGCAATCGTAATTGTTAATCAAAGACATCTGTTCAAAAATATAAAGACTTTCCTAATAGGTTCAAGTTGAGTTTATTATATTCACTCATGGGCAAATACCCTTGGACAAGGTATGAATCCATGTCTTCCCCCACCCCAGCTATGGGTTAGTAAGACTTCTATCACTAAACCATTATTTCAAAGAACCTCCTACAATTAAAATATTTCCGTGCATTAAATAACCTGCAAAGGTTTGATAAGCCGTAGAAAATGAATCATTCAATCAAACAACTGTCTATATTTCTGAGATGAGGTATTATGTACACTATTTACATTATTCGGACTATTGACCTCATCTTTGTCGCCATATTTATTACAACTATTCGGTCGTTGTACGCTCCGGCCTTCTTCAGGTGGTTGGAATGTCGAACTGGACCCTTTTTTTCGCTCACTGAGTGTTGTAGAGTAGTTTTCACAGTGGAGGCTTGTATTTCAATAAGTCGTCCTAAATTAGGTTCGACGTACAAAACGTTAGGAACTTGGAGATAAGAGTTAATGACGCAACAATCAGGTTGTGATGGTTGGTACTTCAATGTCCGATATCGACTTACACGCTCAACACCACTGATCCCAACTGGCGATCGCTACTACTACTACTACTACTACTACTACTTATTATGTGTTGGAGAGTCTATTAATAATAGAATAGGTACGTCAGGTATAACACTGGGGTAGACACTTCTAGTTCCACGTGGCATGTTTAATGGATGTCAGTTATCATTTATCTCCTGTTAATTCCCCTCTCAAAGTTCTCCACTGCCTTAACCGGGTATTGAACTGACATCCATTAAATATGGCACGTGGGACTAGAACAGTCTACCCCAGTGAGCGAAATGAAGGTTCGACATTCCAACCACATGAAGAATGCCGGAGAGTACAACAGTCGATACGTTTTAATAAATATGGCGACAAAGATGAAGAAAATAGTCCGAATAGTGTAAATAGTGTACAATCAAACAACGTACATAATAATATTGCGCTATTTCCGGTTTAATTTGACCGGATCCTCTATTCAGCATAATTATAGATTCATTGCACAATTGAAAAATCCCTACGGTTATTACCTATTTCCAGACTAACTCTGTAAAAATTGTTTCCAATTGCAAAAATAGTTTCTCGTTTTAAATAATTTGCAAAAGATTGATAATCAATCATTCTAAGCCAAATTTAATATTTTGGTCATTAAGGTAATACTGATATCTCTTTTCATATTTTCCAATTATGTTTTTTTTTTGAAGATGATAAAGTTGTATAAAAAACAATTCGTAAACCACGGATTTTATTTGAAGTATAAACGTTCTTACATATTTTAAAGTATTTATAAAATGTTTTTGATATTATGAAAATGTACAGAAATCCCTGTTTTGTACATAATGTAAATGTACGTCTGTCGGCTTCGTTCGTTCGATAGACATAAGACAGTTCTACCGGCAAGTTTGGACTCTGCGTCCCCATTACAACGAATAGTTCCGTCTGGTTTCATGTGCTTCGGTATGTACAGCCACAGAAAGCTTTCACGTCGGAGTAAGGTTGAATTAACCTTTTCAGGAAATCACATATCTGTTTTGGATCCCATGCTAAGTTTGTTTTCGCATCGGAAACGTAAACAAACTCATTTGTAAGGAATAAATGGATTTTGTTTGTAATCCGAAGGTACTTCTAAAAACCATTAAAGTAATGGAAAATATTAATACTGTCAATATTAGGAACATGATTATAAATAAAATCCAGTAATTACTTAAAATTGTTTTGTTTACGTTCCGAACCGGAAAATAATATTTTGTACATATTCTGTCTGTAGCTTTTAGAAAAAAAAAGCGATGCCGGGAAAATTTTCAGACGCCTAGTATAAGAGACAGAAAGAAAATGAATAATTCTGTTGGATCGCCATATATCTCGTTCCATGAAGTAAACATTTAATGACATAATTACTTCGTTAACTTTAATGAAGAACGCGACTACATCCGGCCATCATACAGACAACTTCATAATTCTAAATTCACTTCCGTTATCTTTTTGCGCCAATAACTTCTTTAGACGGCATTTTTATATGTGTTCTAGTTTTCAAGAAAAGAATTATGCAAATAAATAAATCATTGGTTATTTGGGAAACAATATCTGATGAACAATTTGGACAAGTGAAAACTTCCCGAGAAAGCTGGAACAATTTTTGCTGATCACCAAAGTTAAATATGCCTAGCGCTATTCTCTTTAAATATTACACATTTTCATTTAAATAATTCCTGACGGTTTTGTCGAATATCTTCTAATTATGCAATCGAGAAATGCGCCTGTTTCAAGGGTGCTTATGTTTCGTCGGTTGAGATTCATATTTGAGGACATACTTTTCAATCCCTTGATATAAACCACATTGCCTATTTATGATAAAGGGGTTTGAATATTTCCTTTCTCTCTCTTTCCTCATGATCACTTCTCTTACGTATCGATGTAGACTTGTTGTCAACTGTCTCTAGAGTTTGACACATCTCTCGGTGATGATGCTGATGCGAGGAACAGCTTAGGATTATCACATCGATGTCACATCAGTGTTCCCTCCCTCGATAATGAGATGATTGGACAATAATTATATTTTGTTGTTTGCTAATATTCGATATCGATTAGGACCGGTGATCATTCGGTAGAGACCTCATCCTGAGATTATACTGTAAAAATAGTTGTAGACCTATGTTATGGGACCTTACACATAATAACATAATGGACTATTCCATACGTAATAAATACTGCGCCTCAACAGGAAGTAGGGAGTTAAGTCTGAAGTTGGACGACCGGCTGACCGGCTGATCGGTTGAACTCTCTGCCTTCGGGAGGGGAGGAACCCGAACGAGGCTACGCCGAAGGGCGGAGTCTCTTTCGGGGTGGTATCCGACCCTGAATCCGTTTATACGGGTTCAAAGGGCATATTTTTGGCCGAGCCCACGGGCTCGGAGATCCCGCGTTAAACCGGCCTTGTGCCACATGATGCCCTCGTGTATGACTAAATACCGTTCAGTCTGAAGTCTGGAGTGAGGTCCGTCAGGAGTCTGTCAGTCAGTCAGAGCGAGCGAGTCAGTCAGTCGAGTCAGAGGCAGTCCGAAACAGAGACGTGTTCAGACAAGTACTACTAAACCTGATTGTTCGTACTAACACTTTCTTCTTTTCTGTATATATTCCTGTTTGTAATATATCTGTGTTATTCCATACCTGTGTTCGAGTTCTTCTTTATTGGACTATCACCCAAAGAACCGGGCCATAACAATCAATAATATATTCCATTCAAAAACCAAGGCATAATGTCACCAATGGATCAAATAAACACAGACAATTTGGGTTTTAAAAGATTTTAAAATGGCACACTCATATTAATGAGTGGCTATTACTCATTTTTATCTTAGTATTTTTGCTTCGAGATTCCGATTGATATGGTTGGCGCCTTAACTACATCGATCACGAATAATAATGGAAAGAATTACCTTATCCATTCATCGAACAAATAGTCAGTGATAAATTCTAGTAAAATTTATAAAATGTTTTTCTTAACACAGATTTTTTTTCTGGAAAATAGGTGCTATCGCTTTTTTTCTAGTATTCGGATTTTTATTCCTAAGCTTTTTGTTCCATGAATCTCGTACATTCAGAACTGCTCTGGCGTATCAAATGTAAACAAATGACGTCATATATTAAGAAGATTGAAGTTTATAAGCAGTAAATTCGACCTAGTCTACCGAAAAGGTTCTTTGTGGCCCAGAGGTAAGGCACGTCAGCGTAAATGACGGTTCCGTATAGGATGCAGGTTCGAATCCTGTCAAAGAACGAATATTTTCTATGAAAATTTCTCGGACATTCAGGCCGGTAAATGTTATTTAATACTGTTTATCATAAACAGAGCATTTGCTGAAATACTTGTATCTATAAATAACAACGTTAAACATAAAAAATGTCTTTAATAAATAAATTGTCGGACCTTGTCCATTTCTTAAAATATATATGAAGAAATATAGCTTTAAGGTGTGCTATATTTATTGGATAAAGTGCTAAATATCAGAGATAGGGCGTATATAAATATGAAAGTGAACATTGAAGTCAACACTCAGGCGACAGGCTGTTTCATGCTTGACGCAATCGTCAGGACAATTGCGTCCTTGACTTATGAATTTGTGTGTATATATATATATATGTTGCCAGCAATAAATTTTTGAAAAACATTACCAGCAATACATTTTTGTGAAACACATTACTAATGCCCAAAGGTTTCGGCATTAAATGTACGATAAGGAGTTGATATGCCACTAGCAAACAAACAGACATGTGCTATGGATTTTACTGCTTTTGGAAGTCTTCCCGTGATATGGTATTTGTTAGTTAATGTTTTTCTTCTATGTGTTGTTTGGCGTAGACGATCATGGTTCTCCACATCTTCCTGTTCTTCGCGGCATTTTCCATTTTCCAAGCGTTCCATTATCTTTCTCATCATGTTTTTTTTTAATCATTTCACATCAAGCAAGTCAGTAAAGCCACTGAGACAGAGGCGGATACTGAGTGTGAAAGAAAAAGAAATTGTTCTCAAGGAGCGAGACAAATATAAGAAGAGTAATTAAGTAGACAGTAGATGACGATTGGCATTACATTTGCATTGTTTTCTGGAAAGTAAGAAACGGTAAGAATGTTCCACAGGCGAGAACTGTGACTAAGATATTTCCGTTGTCTTTCAAATTTATAGTATAATTTTATAAGTTTTGATTACAACTTTCTTTTATGTTTCCTGTTTGCTTGCTTGATTCTCAGTATCCTTCTGTAGAGCCATATTTCTGTTTCCTCCAGGTTCTTCTTTGTGTTAAGTCTTGCTGATTTATTATTAAAATATTACAGGTATCTAAAGAATAGTGAACGCTCTGCTAATTTAAATACCTAGAAGAATATATTAGTCCGAGTATATCAGTGTAAAATCAGGAATTAATAATTAAATAAAATTTTTTAAATATCTTGATAATTTTAAACATTATTACTTTATAAAATGCATGTGATTTTTGTATGTAAATGAAATACATTCTTACAAAATTAGGAGAGATATGCATTGGGTTGAGTCATAAATAATTTTGGTTTTTGAAATCTAAAGAATAATTATATTTCATTCATTTTTTTCCTATCATTTGCAATGACATGTTGACACGAATCAGGCAGTTCTTCGATATCTTTTGAGTAATAGCCCATAAGTTTTTATGTGAAAAACTTACGAAAAATAATTCTTAAATTTGGTTTGCTTTAGAGTAACTTTTTCAATCAAAGTGTTTTACAGCGATCGGATAAGGTAAAAATCGGTGTTGAAGACAAGATAATATAGTTAATCGTCTAGAATAGATTTACTAGTTTCAAAATTTTACCCCAAACAAGGCGGGTTACAGAGTGGGAGCGAGAATAAAAAGGCGTGATGGAGGAAAGGATAAAATAGAAGGGTAGAGGATAGTTCAGGTTATGTGGAGATGTCGATTGACATTACATTTGAATAGTTGGAGATTTTAGCTATCAGGGAAACAAGTAATAGGAAGGGAATTCCACAGACGGGAGGTGCGAGACATGAAGCTATTGGAGTAGAAGAAACGGCCACATTTAACCATTTCGACAGTGAAAGGGGGTGATGCTAGCCTAGTAGCACGCTTAAATTCATGCAGTCTGGGAACTAGCGAAAGTAGCTCGTCGGAGGAGTTACCGTGAAAGTATTTGTAGAAAAGACAGAGGAAGGCGACGGCATGTCTGTCAGAAAACGACTGAAGACGAGATGCCAGATCAGGACCAACCACATCGCTTATCACTCTCTGGATCTTGTCGAGGACCTTAAGGAGAACAGCGGAGGCACCAGACCCTATATGGTAGCAGTATTCCATGCAAGAGCGAATGGTTGATTTATAGATTTGAAGGATGGACTCAGGCGAGAAAAACGTTTTGGCGCGACACTGGGAACTAAATTTCCTTGCGGTGGATCCAATGTAATTGTTCCATCTCAGGTCAGCGGGAAGTGTTAGATTAAGTAACCGTAAAGAGGTGCTCTCGTAGAATTGAGCATCAGGCATTCTAATGGGCGGCAGGAATAGTTCCCTGTGTTGAGTAATAGAGCGCAGTTTTGTTTTAGATTCATTAAAGTTAAGCAGCCAATTCCTGCCCCAGTCTACAACTGATTGGGGGTCCTTTTCGAGACTAAAATCTGCGCAAAGATTAAGGTATGTTAGAGGGTTCTTTTTTAGGAATAATTTGTAGTTTCTCAGAACGGAACAATTTTGACTTAAAATAATGTTTATTATGTTCTGTCCCTTCAGGTCTTGGGCGAACATGGTTATCTACAACTTCATGTACTTAGTAACAATGTTTATCCACTTACTATAATTCCCATTACGTTTGCTGCCACTACGCTACAAAACTTCCTTTGTGTTCCTATCCTTCAGTTGCATTCAGTATGCCCTGTGAGTGTCAGATTCTACAAATACACTTTCGTCATTACCTTTCCTAGATTTGAAATGCAATCCTCTAACAAATGTTCTTTATGTCCGAAAATTTACATTTGGTTTGGGAAGTGGATTAAAACAAATGAAAGTTTATGGGACAGAACATTCCAAATTTGTTAAATTCAAGAAGAAATCTATCTATCTATCGTTGCCTGTTCATATCTATCTATCTATCTATCTATCTATCGAAGTATATTCATATCGATCTATCTTTCTATCTATCTTGTTTTTCCTTCATCTATCTATCTATCTATCTATCTATCTATCTATCTATCTATCTATATATATATATATATATATATATATATATATATGTCTAATAGGTTTCCAAATCTATATCAGTCTATATTCACATTTGTTAGTCAGTGTACAACTATCCAACTAACTGGTCTCATCTATCTATCTATCTATCTATTCGGTATTTACCTCTCTGTACTTCCTAAGCAATGGTTACATTCCTGATTATTATATCTCTGTTAATTAATCTTAGACGAATTGTCGGTAGAGTCGAAGCTTCCTCTATCCTGGTAGGAAGATCACCTCGTAAACTAGATTCAAAGTCGATGGCCAGTGTGTGAGGATATGGTAAAGACGTATAGGAATTGACCAAGATGAAAGATCACTTGCCGCCAAGCAGAGAAATTCGATAAAAATCAACTTCTTGAATGTTGAATTGGAGGAATGAAATGTGGCTGTAATCGGATCCCAAATCTATCTTGTTTTTTCCTTCATCTATCTATCTATCTATCTATTATAGCATTTTTTAAAATCTATATCAGTCTATATTCACATTTGTTATTCAGTGTACAACTATCCAACTAACTCAGTCCATCTGTCTGGTCACATCTATCTATCTATCTATCTATCTATCTATCTATCTATCTATCTATCTATCTATCTATCTATCTCATAGCTTTTTTTAAAGAAATCTATATCAGTCTATATTCACATTTGTTATTCAGTGTACAACTATCCAACTAACTTAGTCCATCTGTCTGGTCACATCTATCTATCTATCTATCTATCTATCTATCTCATAGCTTTTTTTAAAGAAATCTATATCAGTCTATATTAACATTTGTTATTCAGTGTACAACTATCCAACTAACTCAGTCCATCTGTCTGGTCACATCTATCTATCTATCTATCTCATAGCTTTTTTTAAAGAAATCTATATCAGTCTATGTTCACATTTGTTAGTCTTTGTAGAACTATCCAGTTAACTCAGTCCATCTGTCTGGTCACATCTTTCTACCTATCTATTTATCTATTCACTATTTACCTCACCGTACTGCCTGGTTACATTGAGGATTATTATATATCTGTTAAATCGTATATAGCTACTAATAAAGACACCTCAAAAATCAGTTCATTCACATCTTCAGTAAGCATTCTAAGCAATATTTAACTGATGATGGAAACCTATTGTTATTAATCTCATTCACCGATGTCTCTGCAGTACATTTCAAACATTTCTTTTCACCTTATTTTAATTGTATGTAATTGATTCCTGTTTCAGACACGACACAGAATTCCATCCTTACCCTTGACCGATGTGAGTCGCACCCGAGAAAGAAAGACTCAATATTTGGTCGCATAAACGCTGACACTCATCGCAGAAATGTAGAATAGTTAAGCAAATTTTCATAGAGGAATATTGTATTTAAAATGCATACAAAAGGTTTCAACGAAATACTTCTTTTCTTATTGCGTCATATATCTCTCTTTGCCGCCCCAAATACACAGATACGCATACGTGCGCGCGCACGCACACCCACACACAAACACACACATCCCAAGTGTAACAGCACAATTGTCCAGATCTGCAATTGCAAATTTGTCCAATTGTAACATTAATATCTGAACTATTGTATCTTAGAAATGAATAAAGATATATTATTGGAATTCTCCTAGAATTATATAACACTATTGGACTCTATTTTGAGCAATAACAATGTATAATTAATATCTAAGCTTAACAGAAGAATTGTGATGGAATCAATTATAAACAAAAATGACATGGTCATAATTAATTAATTATAGTTAAAGATTGGAAGCTCATGAAAGACTGATAATGTTCAAAACATATATATATATATATATATATATATATATATATATATATATATATATATATATATATATATATATATATATATATATATATATATATATATATATATATATATGATATATATATATATATATATATATATATATATATATATATATATATATATATATATTCTATGATCATTTTCCAACTTATTCAAGCTGATCTCCACCCTCTCTAACTTTCTATCCTGAACTAACAAGGTTTTTGAGAGGTTACAAGTCCGATTTTATTTTCAAGTCTTTTTTTCACTGCTCTTTGAACTGTCATGAAACACCTCTTTCCTGTGCTAAACGTCTTATGAATGGAGTTGGATCTTTCCTAATTGATCTCTTTAGCAGTAAGTCGAAATGATCCCTTTTCCTGTTGTGACCTCCTGATCCAGTTTTCCTCTCTACTGTTCCCTCTTTTGTAAACTTATTCACCGTTCTCTTGACGTTTCTTGAATGGACTTTGAAGATAGAAGCCAGAGTATTAATCTTAGTACAATTACTAAAGGCCTGAATAATCTTTTTCCTCTCACCATTGCTCATTTGGGAAGACGGTTGGTCTAAGACAAAACTATTTCAACCTGCTGAATTTTTAGCTGAACAGCTCAATGGATTTTTCAGTGCTTCTTCCGAAAAGTGGTGTCACGATTGGTAAATGACATCGGAAATCCTGCAAAAAAGAAGCTTAATCAGTTTAGTGGTTTTTCAGATATTAAACATTTTGTGGGATGGACAATTATGCTGTAACACGATTTAGGCAATTTTGCTATTACATCCTATATATATAAATATGTGTGACTGTGGTATGTTTATGTGTTTATGTCTGTGTGCGTTGGGCACCTCGAAGTAGTGTAATGGTTAGAAAGGTTGTCTTGTTAGATCAATTAAGACTGAGTACGGTCCTCTCTGGATGTCCCATACTTTCGGCCTTGTGCCGCATCTAAGCTGGGCTTAGAAAATCACTATGTCTGTGTGCGTTTGTAATTATTGCCTCAGATAAAAGAGTTTCTTCTTGACCAATGGGGAATTACAAAACTAAATCTGCCGCCATTTTATTGGCCGAAATTATGTTCGCTTTCATATAGGTTGAATTATATAATTGTAGGTATATCTATAGGTAGACCAGTTTTCACTTTTCGCCTCACGATACACTCCAAAAACGTTTACACGGCATTGTCTGTAATGAATTATCACCCCCCAACCACTGACATGTTTTTAAATTGGAAAGATCATTTTTAGGTTTCTACCTTGTAAGAGAGCAAGATGAAAAGAAAAGAAAAATAAACCAAATAAGAAGCTTGCTCTTCAATATCTCCGTAATTTGTTCTTACGTTGCTCTCCTTTCCTGCTTGCTCTCCCCAGCATTGTGTGAGATAAATTGGGGCTTTACCATCCAAAAATGAAAGGGAATATTTGACTTTTGTTGATTTCAAACTACTAAAAAGACCGACGATGAAGGTTAGTTCTGTATCGTCCATGTAAGCTATTCTGATTTGTTACCCACACATTTCAAACGATTTATAATTTTTCTCTTTTCCTGGCGATGGAGGTTTTTGCACTTATTTTAATTACGATACCTACCATTTAAAATTAATTTTTAATAATGAATAATCTTTCTTAAAACCTTTATTTTATGTTTAATTTCAAGCTAGTAGATTACATTTAATATTTCGAATAAGCAAAATAAATATTTCGAATAAGCAAAATAAATATTTCGAATAAGCAAAATAAATATTTCGAATAAGCAAAATAAATATTTCGAATAAGCAAAATAAATCACTCTAATTTAAAAGTAATGTCAATTGATGGGAAGGAGTTTTTTTTTTTAAATTTCTAAATTTTTGGAATTTCACACCATTTTTAGCAAACTGTTCTAAAAATGTAAATCTCCTTATTAAAACATCTTACAAAAATAAAATATACTTTTTGAAACTTTATTTGAGGAGTATAAGCTGATTTAAAGTATAAAGTATAATTAATCATATTTGAAACAACTACTATTTACTTTAGGTTTAAAATATCACAGAAATGATATTTTTTAACACGGCGCTCGATATTTATTTATGTTGACAGTTTTTTGTTAACAGTACCGTGATAGCTTGATAACAGATAAACTTTATCTAATTTTGTTCTCTGGGGGCATTAACTGTAAAAAGATAATTAAGGAATATAACGTGAACGCCTTTGAATTACTGAATAAGAAAATATATACCTTATTCTAATGTTTTATTACCCTTTAGAGAATTTGGGCTCTAAATTTACTACAACTAACTTAATAATCAGCAATAACTCTTCTCCCTCAACTAGTGTTTTGCAAAGGACCAACATTGTATATCAATTTAAATGTCTTTTGGGAGATTGTATATCTGACAAAAATGTAAATATATATCTTGCTTACACGACGAGGATACTATCAAGAAGTCTTACTTTACACATTTCGTATTCAAGTTCTATTGCAGAACAGTTAAAAGAACATTCATGTTCACATTCATGTTTTAGAGAAATATTAACTGACAATACAAGTATACTTTACCATGAAAATAAAAACTTTAAATTCTCCCAGTGATCAATATAAAAATGAAGCGACATTAAATAAAATTAATTGTGAGTAAATAACAATGCTTTAAAAGCAAAGTTTTGGTATGCAAAAGTTATAAAAAATGCAGGTTCAGTATTGTTAAAAGATTAATAAGAAATTACATTAAGTTACCCCTTTACCTTTTCTTAACGTAAATTGACTATAACAGCGCGTTTTATGCGCATCTACAAAAACCTCACAACTATCAATTACACTAATTTTTTGTGTCAGCAGATGATCTTGAATGAGATTGAAGTTACTTGGGAAAATAAAAAAAATTACCAAAACTACGGTGTCTATCTTAATCAGTTTTGTAACAGCACTAAGGAATTGATCCGTGAATTTGAGAGGATTAACATAAAATAAATAGGCATGATATGTCTATATTATTGAACCAAACAGAGATAGAGTTAACATATTTGGTTGGATAGATGTGAGTTTGTGACCCTGGATTTCACGCTTTAGCGATCGGCAGACAAATTGATTCATTTTTAAAAAATTTTGAGTTCATGTAGTTTGCGTGTATTGGTGTTATTGTGGAAGTGGTGGGGGAAACTTCGTCGTTTTGTCATCGTACTAACGCAAACATCGATGTATGCAGACACATATACATACTTGGTCGTCCGTCGGGACTCATACATATATAAACATATGTGGGCAGTTTCAGATATGACATATGTATGTATACGGGTGGTGTTGTGTCTATACATACGCATTTGTATGTTGAAATTCAAAGATTGGGAGTGTAGCGAAGATTTCTCGTGAATGTCTCGTGAATGTATACATGTCATATTTTTTTATTTTTCTAGTGAATAAGTTTCTTCGCATGTATGTATATCCGTGTGGTGGGGTTTGTGTAAAATTATGATAGGTAAAAATTGTTATTATTTATATTTATTTTTAAATTTTTGAAAAAAAAGGGGGGGTTATTTGTTATATTTAACGGTGGTTATTTGTTTGTTTTTGATGACTGTATATGTAACAGGTAGAAATTTGTAATCCTTATTGGTTATTTTATATGGTGATGTTTGCTAACAACAAAAACATACATATATCTACTTCTGATAAGGGCGGGGAATTGTAATTATGGATAAACACATTTACCAACAGAAGATGAGGGAGCTCATTAATGATGATAACATCTATGAAAAAGTAAATGAAAGCATAGCTATAAAAGAAACACAAAAGTTTACAAGCAACATTAAAAAACTACTAAAAAATGAATACTTTTCCTGGTTAAAACTTATTGAATACCATCCAAAAACACCCATATATGGATTACCAAAAACGCATAAACCGAACATACCAATGAGACCTATCATATCAGGGATAGGCAGCGCTCCACATAAAATAGCCCGCAAACTAAGCAGAATTTTAACTCCA